TGGTGGACTACCTAAACTGCATATAAACAGGCTCAGACAACACAATAATCCTTGCAAAAAAGGCGGCATTTAATCTCATCATAAACCTGTTTTTAGTTTATCTTCTTTTATTTATTTTCTTGTTAAATTCAATTTGGTGGTACATATATGATATGTTAAAGTCTGTTCCTGTCTTAGAAACATTTATTTTTTAATGATTTTGATTAACTGTTTTCCTTTTTTAATATGTTAGTGTGCCCTCTTTTGTTTTTTTTCTTGTCTTTAAGGTCCCTACATTTTGCAGAGAATGGATGGCTGTGAGTGGGATGATGAGACTGGAGAAATTAAAGGATATAATCAGTATGGTTATAATGGGGAAGACATCTTAGCCCTGGACCTGAAGACCCTGACATGGATTGCTCCCAAACCACAAGCTGTACTCACAAAACTCACATGGGACACCATGAAAGCCAGATTAGAACAGTATAAAGATTTTTACATCTATAAATGTCCCGACTGGTTACATTTATATGTTCATCATGGGAGGAGCTTTCTGCAGAAGAAAGGTATATTTGTGACACAATTTAAATGCAGCAACAACAGGATCTCTGCAAATTAATTACAAAGATCATATGTTTTCTTATTTATTTATTTTTTTCTTAAATAGAAAGACCCTCTGTGTCTCTGCTCCAGAGGACTCCCACCTCTGTGGTGACCTGCCATGCTACAGGTTTCTACCCCGAAACTGCTGACATTTTCTGGAGAAGAGATGGAGAAGAGATTCATGAGGCTGTGGAGAAAGGAGATATCCTTGCAAACAATGATGGAACCTTCCAGATGAGTGTTGAGTTAAACGTTTCATCTGTCCAGCCTGAAGACTGGAAGAGATACGACTGTGTGTTTGAGTTCTCTGGTTTTAAAGACGACATCATCTTCAAATTGGATAAATCCACAATCCGTACAAATTGGGGTAAGGGTTGTTTTAATCCTTTATATGCTGGTAAATCTTCAAAAATAAATAAATATGCATCAGTAATAAAACCCAAGTCTTTGCTCCAAGGAGGCCGCTCAATCATTAGATCACTACACGACACCCTCTGTTTCTACACCTTTGATAAGCAGTGAACACTTCAGACTCCAACACCAAAAAGCTGCAGTTTTGAAGCGGCTTTGACTAACTTTTTTTTTTGACTACTCATAATTTGCCCCTTGTTGAATTCCCTAAAATTAATATGTTTGTCCATTCCTTGAAACCTTTGAAAAATCCATGTGGAATTAAGATGTTTTTTGTGTTCACTTAAGCTGCTAGCGGTCATAGCACCTTATCATATGTACTCCTAGCTGTAGTTACTACCGGTAAAAGCAATCTATTTAGTATTGAGTTGTTTATAGGATGTCTGTCTTTTTTGTTAGTCTGGTTCTTTTACAGTCTATTTTGTTAACACTTAAACTCATCATTGAGCATTTTTCTCATTAAACTTTAGTTTTGAAATATTCATAACTTATTCTAAGTTCTATTATACATAAGGAGCCTCTTTATTTATACATTCTGGGATTTCTGTAGATTTTAAATTAACTCTTTTTGTGGACCTCCTCAGCTTCTCCTTCAG